GGTCTTTGAGGTATTTTTTCTTTTTGCTCTGTGGTCTTGGGCTCATTAACCCCATATTCTAACCAACCAAACCAGCCAGGCCCAGACTCGCTGGTGTGTACGGTAGTATCTGGCATCTGAGATTCTGTGAATCGGAGTTTTCATTTATCAGCATGTCTGCACAGCAACCTCACGAAATGCAATCTTCAGATGCCCCAAGGTATGGCAAGCCTCTGATTCATTAGAGATTTGATTATGCATGGTATCGCCGCCACAGCAAGCCTTTCTATCAGGTTCTAATGCTTCTAGAGCGTACTTGGGTTGGGACATAAGAGGTCTGTGCCCCAGCCTTCATGCTGCTGCTAACTCGCCATGTGACTTTGGGCAAATCATTTTGTCTCTTAGTTTCCTCGTCTATAAATTGGAATTTAATTCTCTGTGCTCCTGCCTGTCTTACGAGTATGAAATACCCACCCAGACAGAAAATGAGCACCCTAAGGCTCTGAAAGCAAAAGGAGTTATTCTGTGGCCCCTCAAGGGAAAAGACAACTGCTGCTATTAACCACTTCTGTTCACTATTTTCTCCAACAGGGTTGGGCTACAGAATGAACTGCATTCCAGAAAATGAAGCTCTCTCTCCCATGGGGTCAGTCGGACCCCAGCCCACGTTAGTTGCAAAGGAAACAGGAAGAAATGACATCCAGGCTCAGGGTGGATAGATTTGTGGGCATACTGGACACGGAGATTGGGGAGCCTCAGTCTCCTGTGGTCTGTGAATCCTTTTCTTTGCAACTGTGCCTCTCAGTTTGCTCTTGCCCATGTGCTCCTTGACCTGAGGCCCTCAGTGCTCATCAGCCAGTTCCAAAGAGCTGGAAAGGCTTACCACCTTCTTGGACAGGGATGGCTGAATTAAGACCTYCGTAGTTCTTTGATACTCCTACACATTAAATACACCCACATGCCACATAAAATCCAGTTTCCTTACCATTAGCTATAACTTCCTGATCATCACATCACCTGTGAGAATTTTGGGGCTGTGAGACACTGAATCCACAAATTGTTTTCAGTTGTTTGTTAAGTACTAGATTGTAACCATGGATTGCCACATGGCAGCGAATGTGGCATGCAGTAGAAGATGCTTCTTAGGAAGCAGAAGAAGCCAGATACAAAGAAGGACTCACTACTGGCTCCCCTTAGGTGAATGAAATTCGAGAACAGGCAAAACTGACATATGGTGTCAGAAGCCAGCAGAGTGGCTAAGTTACCCCTGGGGAGGGGACAAAAACAGGAAGGGGCATGGGTGCTGGTAATGCCCTGCTTCTGGGTCTGGTGCTGTGTAGTTTGAGGAGGGTCCTAGAGCTACAGACATTTTAGTCTGTGAATTTTCAAGTCTGTGTGCTGTATTTCAATGAAAATGTGACTATGTGTTGATGTTTAATTTGCAATTTCATCTCATATTTTGCAGCCAATACATGTTTCTCAGATATTGAAACATTTCCAGAGGCCCCAGCCTCGTGCATCTAACACTCTGGACCATAGATGGAAGCTGTCCTCTCCTGGACTCTGGTGCAGCTGCTCCTTCTTCCTGGCTATTGCTAAGCTGTCTGGTGTTCCAGGAAGCCAGGGACAGCCTCTACTGCCGCTCAGTCCCTAGGCTCCTGGAACATCCTTCCAAGCCAAGAAAAGCTTCCCAAAACCTCCCTACCTTCTCCACCCAGATGGCCCTGGCTCTCCTAGATGGCACACAGCAATTATCTCCATACCATCCCTTGGAATTGATTCCACATGTCTTATCCCATAAGACTGTGTGTGTGTGTGTGTGTGTGTGTGTGTGTGGCACTGGGGATTGATTCCAGAGGTGCTCCACCACTGAGCTATATCCCCAGCCCTTTCTATTTTTTATTTTAGGACAAGGTCTTGGCAAGTTGTCCAGGGTGGTCTTGAACTTGTGATCCTCCTGCCTCAGCCTCCCTAGTTGCTGGGATTAGAGGTGTGTGCTAGCTTGCCTGGTAGCACATATGAACATCTTGGGGCTGGGGTCCTCCATATCATTTGTGTCTATGACCCTCCAGCACCTGGTCCAGAGCCCTAGCAGAGCAGGTGTCCAGGAAACACGAGCTTCTTGGACTTGACTCTTAAAGTTGTCTTTCCTACAGGATCCCACCCAGTTGGGGATGTGCTTGTGATGGTTTCCCATTTATAAGCTGGGTGACATTGGGCTGATTTGTCCCATCTTAAGTCTCACTTTAGTTAACTGTAAAAATCAGGATAAGAAACCTAGCATCACGGAGTCATGGTGAGGCTCACATGGGCTAAGGGACAGCAGGTGTCTCTGAGGGCGTCATCCCTCTGCCCTCAGGTGACATTCTCCATCCTTGCCGGGTATGGGGTCGGTCAGAGGAGATTCTGGAAGGAAGTGAGTAGCCCTATCATTTTTCAACAGCACCCCCCAATAATCCACAGCTTAGAAAAGTTCAAAGAAACACGAGTAATTTATTGATTTCCTATATTTCAAAACAAAACAACCAAAAATAAAGCAAATACATGGCATATCATACAAGGGAACTGGGCCCGGCCAGCACAAAGTTCTTATACAAACATCAAGCAAGGGGAGGGTGGTCTAGAAGGAGGCACCAGATGCCCAATAGTAATTAGGGGCTGCCCTCCCCTGCCCATCAGGGAGCCCCAGCTAGTCTCTCAGCCAGGGGCTGAGGGGGGACAACAAAGGTCACCTCTGCCTCTTGGGGCCTTGGCATAGTGTGGGGTCTGGGCAACTAGTCTGGCCCACACTAAAGATGCTGCTGGTGGCCAATGACTGCATTCGTCTTAAGCACAGGAGATTCTGGAGTTAAGATGGGCATGGGTCTGTGTCCTTTCTCATTTTGTCCCAAATTAGAACTTCTTGTTTGGGGCATTGTCCTGGTAGCCAGAGGCCAGTGTGGATTTCAAATCCTAAGATAGGCCTCTGGTATGACTCATAAGGCCCAGCAAACTCCTTTATCTAGGAAATAGATCCTCACGTCCCTCTTCATGTTGCTCTTCCCCAATGACAGGCCTGGATCTGAGGCCCCCATGACAAGGCCCCCACTGGCCAGGGCACAAGAAGCAACCAAAATCAGGCCTGACCTAATTGTCCTTTTGGGGCCACTGAGGTTCGAGCAGCTGCCTTCTTCCCAGAGCAGATTACTGGGCCCATCTGGCTCTTCACCCGGGAGGGGTTGAGGTGGKTGCAGAGCAAGTGAACCAAGGAGCTGCAGGAAGTGAGGACCGTGCTAAGGGGCTGGCATCACCCTGGGCGTGTAGGAGATTCACTCTAGTGGTTTATTACCCTCTTGTCCTGACTCACAGTCCTCTCCGACGGGGGGATCCCCAAAGCCAAGCACCTGGTGCAGTGTCCCCCGACCCCTCCCAGCAGAACACAAGCGAGGTGATGATAAAGGTGTGGGCTGATGTATCCTAAGTGCTTAGAACACTGCCTGGCACAGAGGGGTGCTCCAGAAACATTTTTTTTTCTTTTTAAAGAAATGGATTCCTCTGGGTGCTGATGATGGGCAGAGGAGACTTCCTGAAACCCACACCCAGGACAGTCTGGGGGGACCAGGCTCACACGTGGCTCCCTGGGAGGCAGAGGGGAGCCCAGATGGGGGAGGGTGTGATAGACTCACAACAGCAGGGCGCGTCTGGTTAGGTGTCCTGGGACACCTCCACACGTCTGGCCTCCCCCAACCTCAGTGGCTGCATCTCTTAATTAGCCATCCTGAGTCCAGAAAGGAGTCTTGGTCCTGATGAGGACAATGAAGAGAAGGAGCACCTGTGTTCCTCTAGAGAAGGGCACAGCCCAGGCAGTTAATGTCTCCCAAACACCTACCACGCCAGCCCGGCTGAAAAGAGAAAGCCTGGGTGTGCTCACTCGGCTTCATYTGGTGGTCTGTACTAAGGGCTACCGCCAGAGACCGGACTTCTCRTGAGGTCTCCCGGGGCCCTTTTGCTACTGCTCATCGAAATGCACAGTCTGGGGTGTAGGGGGTGCCTGGTGCCCCTAGCAGGCTTCTTATCACATCCCCCATGGGTCTCACAAAGACAGACAGGAGACAGGATGGCCGGGGTTCAGGGGGAGGAAGGCAGGGCCCCTGACAGGGGTATAGACTTGCTGATAGGATTCCCCTTTTGTGGTCTATATAAACGCCCTCCCTTTGGTCTTCTGGGAACCCAAACACTCCCTCACCTGACTTGGCAGGCCTCGGTGGGAGGCAGTTTCCTGGTTAGTTTCCAACTCCTTCCTCCCTGTTCCCCTGACTAGGCAGATGTCCAGCCCCAGCCTATTCCTTTCTCCGCTGGGAAAATGAGACCAAATAGCCATCCTCTGAACAGCTCTTTGGCTTCGAGCMCCATGTTTTGCCTTCTTTATCCTGTAGCACAGGCTCCCTGGAAGTTGGGGCTTTGCAGGTCGAGGCTGCTCTGCAGCAGCACAGCCCAAGAGAACAGCAAGTCCCCTCTCTCTGGCTGCTACTCCCAAAGCGACCTCTCACAGCTAAGCAAGCAAGATKGTCTTGGTGCCTTCCAGAGCCCCACACCCGGCCCAACCCCACACCTTGTGGCATTGTGGGAATGGAGCATTGTCAGATGCACCAGATTTTCCCATGAGATACACCAAGCCCTGACACCCCAGCCAACCTCCCTGACCGCAAAGCAGCCTTTTAAGGAGGTTAGCTCCAGCCCGGCTCCTCTTCCTCCCACTTGCCCTTGGAGATGGCCACAGAAAGGCTGTAGGGTACCTCTGTGGCCTGACTCTGGTGAGGGCCCCTGCCCTGGCATAATATATTTCTAGAACTATGGGCAGCTAACCTAAAAGCACATGTCATCCTTGCCTAGGAGGGAGAGACATGGAGACATCTTTGCCCTATCTTATGAGTTGCAACGATACAGCCTTTGCAGTTGGTAGTTATGCTGTTAGGCACTCACGCACGCGCACGCACACGCACATGCACACTTACATTATACACATATATATATATACCATTTCTCAGAGAAGGAAGTATTGACATCAGATGTAAGCCCATTTAACTCAAGAAAGTCCCCCCCCCAACCTCCCCACCCCCCACTGCCTGCCAATTCCCCAAGGAAAAAAAAAGAATCTAAAAATATCTCCATCATCCACAGTTTTCAGGTTTGTTCTCAGTTGCYCTCGAACTTTTCCAAATACTGCACAGGATGGACAGAACAACCCATCCAGCAAGGCCTGAGGTCTTCTCATATAGGTCGTATCTTTCTGGAAAAAGAGAAAGCCTCAAGTTAGCATGTAGCAAAGTGTTTCCATGTGAGTAAGTCTGGCTCATCCTGCCACYGTCTTCTTGCTCACATCGGGCCTAATGCGGGCTCTGGCCTGAGATTGGATTCAGGGCCATCCAGATACCTTCATCTACAGCTCTGTTGGTTCAGAAGCAGATCAGCTTTATCTTGTCACCTTTACCATCCCCTGCACCCTCAGTTCATTGCTAAGCAATCATATCATACTCATGAAGATTCTGCTACCCTGCCRGGTATGGTGGCCCACCGTGTGATCTCAGTTACTCATGAGGCTGAGGCAGGAGGATTGAAAGTTTGAGGTCAGCTTGGGCAACGTAGCAAGACCCTTAGAATTTTTTTTTTTTTTTTGCTGATTAAGACCCTTAGAATTAAAAAAAAAAATTTAAAAGGACTGGGGGATGTAGCTCAGTGGTAGAGCATGTCTGGGTTTAATCCCTAGTACCCCAGTAACTAACACACACACACACACACACACACACACACACACACACACGTCTATCTCTAACCTTCTCCCCTTTCCTGTTCTCAAGTTGCTGAAGCTTATCTATGAGAGGTATCTGTAGTCTTATTTAATATTCCTGTGGACCACCAGGACCCTCCTTGGGCTTTGGGGTTGGGGTGGATTTGCTAGCAGAGGGCTGGGACTGAGAAATCCAGTCCAGGAGGCTCTGTCTTTGTCCCTGGCTACGGTACAGATGGCTCTGTACCAGAGCTGCCACTGGTGAGCCTGTCTAGGTTTGCTGATGCCTGTTTTGAGCATCCTGTGGTGCTTGGATTCCCTGCAGAAGAAGCACTTTGGATGCTCATTTTAAAAGGCATTTCCTTGGACTCCACTCCAAGAGTCAGAATTTCTGGGGCTGGGAGCAACTGTGTACATTTTAGCAAGCTTCCCAGGTGATTCTGATGAATGTTARAGCTCGCACACCTTTGACATATTTTAGATCTGAGTTTCTGGTCCTTAGAAACATCAGCTGGAATAAGCTTGCCCACACTGGGTATGTGAAGAGACTGGAAGGTAGATTATAAGAAGGACAACAAAGTGAGATTTGGATGATCAAACCAAGCACGACATATTGTATAACTCCACTATCCATATCATAGAACCCACTGTAGTCCACGTAACTGGCACTGACTGGGTTTTACAGTGGGCAACCTACACAGCTGTACCCAGAAGTCCTGCCCAGACCCTCTGGCCCTTCTGRTTCTATCAGGACATTTTACATCTCTACTCTGTGGTGGGACGGCCCAGGCCCTCAGTCAGGAGTCTACATAGCTGTGCTTATAGTCCTTGTATTGATCTGAGCCAGGATGCTTGTGTGTCTCTGGCATGCATAGGCCTAGTCCTTCTCTGAGATTGGCCAAGGTTTCAGGGTGGCCCAGGAGGGATCTGGGCAGGGGGTGGGCTGGTTCTTACCTGCAAGCTGCACTTGCTTGGACAATCTCTTCTTAGAATCGGGAGGTGAAGTTCCTGAAGCTRTTGGGCCCGGCTAGGGCTCCCAGCATGTTCCTATCGAAGCCTTGCTGCAGGAGAGGAACATGAGCTGTTTGATTTATCCTAGGACAAAATAGCGTGGGGGTCCCCGCAGGGCCAGCCACAGCCTTCCCAGAACATCCTTGGGCTCATACAGCCTCTGGACGTGGTATGCTCTGACCACGGTGCACATGTGTCACGGCTAAACAGACTAATTCAATGTGCAATCAGACCCAATGCCGTGCAATGTGTTTTGGTTTCCACCAGCGCATTGGAGTTCCCTACTAGAATTTGCAGAAACCTGAGTCAGGGCCTGAACACAGTCCTCTACACAACCCCCAAAATCAGATTAAGACGTTGCCAATGGTTCTTCTCTCTGACTGCCCCGGCCTGTCTTATTTTAAATTCTGGCAAGAGCTCTGGGGCAGGGAGGCCAGGCCCAGAGTTTCTCAAACTCAGGGGCAGGGGCTGGTGCTGGAGTGAGAGGCCACTGTGCTATAAGGTTCTGTTTACTTATCTGTTCTCTCGCTGGCAGYTCACCAGCCCCTGAGTGCCTGCTGGGTGGAGACAGGGTCTCATTCCTTTTATTTCTTCTAGCATAGAGCCAGTGCTTAATATAGGTGTCAGAGTGAATGAGGATAGCTGTCATCCACCAGGGCTGGGGGCAGGGGTGACTTGAGAAGAGGGCTCTGAGGGCCAGGTCAGCTTATGGCTGATCTGTGGGAACAGGAAGAGAGATGACACAGGGGATCCCAAACAGCAAAGTCCCAGGCCTACTGAGTTTGGGCGTGGATGACATGATGTTGTTTWTCCCCCCTGCAGATTTGCTTGCTTGCTCCTGTTGAGCTTGGCTGAATTTGGTGGAAAGAACGCAGGAGTGAAGAGTTCTGGATCCCAGCCTCGCTCCTGCCCTGACTCGCTGAATCAAGACAAACTCTTTAGAATTCTGATTCCTCCGAAGTCAGCAAAAGAGACAAAAGCCACGTGACCTGCCTCACCTGTGCTGTGACAATCTAATTAATGATGGATCTGAACGTGCTTTGGGAACAGAAACCTTGACCTAGATCCTGCCAAGGCTACTGTCAAGTACAACTGGAGAAACAGGGGGAGACTGAATGGGGACACTGGTTCCCAAAGGATAGCACAGAGGGGAATTCACACAGAGAACCTAAGAGGTGGATTCCTTATGTGTCTTTAGGTCAGGAGCGGGCTCTGTATTTTTGGATGAGTTGAACCCTTTGGATCATCTTCAAACAGCTCAAGGAAGTGTCACCCAGTCCTCCTTACCTGTCTCCCCATACCCACCCCTGTGTCTATTGGGTAGCCGCCACTTGGCCATGCCCACCCTCATGGTGGTATTGCTCGAAAAGAGGGTTGATTGGCAAATGGAGAACAAAGGCCATTGTCCACCTTCATATTTCCCACCCATCTTGGACCATGGAGGGTTCCTAGGCCCCCTACTGTCTCCGTGCTCTGATAAAGGAGAACTGTCCCTCCTATTTCCCAGATTGGTCTCCTGTCCTCCTTGTCCCCCATCCTCTCCATTCTCCCCTTCTTTGCCCACTCCCTCTCCTCTAATGACAGACACACTAGGACTCCCTCTGTCTTTCACAGTACTCTTTCAATCTCCCCTCTGTCTTCTTTCTTCTTGAACCAAAGTGCAGTGAAGGGCGCCTCCGATCTGTGCCCCCTCTCTCCTGTCCCCATCACTGCCTCACCACGGCCACAAGCCCCGAGATGCTCCCCTTGCTTTGCCAGCAGTACTCTTTGAGGTCCCCAGAGACTTCTGAATTAGCAGCTAAATCCAGGGCCTTTCCCAGTTCTCTCCTCCCTGTCCCCTCCACAGCACTGGGCACTACTCTTCTGCCCCTTTCCGGAAACTTGTGCAGATCATCCTGCTTCCCTGGCCTTCTTCCTTCTTGGCCCCCAAGTGAAGGTCTTCATGCCTCTCTGCCCCGGTTCCCCAAGACTTCTCCACAGGCCAGGGCCCCAGGAGGGGCTTGCCTGTTCTCATGGTGTCACTAATCTGTACTGCAGCTCCAGCCTCTGCCAGGGTCCCACTCCACCTCCCCCAAGCCATCCAGATCCAACCTCCTACTCCCACCCCAAGAGCCTCCTCCAGCTCTCGCCAGCTGATCTGTGTCTGTTGACGCAGCTGCAGTGTCTCCAAGCCTCAAGTGCCATCAGCACTGTGCTGCTGCTTCTGCCTCCTCTCCTTTATTCCCACCTCCCCATGGCCTACACCTYAGCCCAAAGAATGGCTGTGCAGGAATGGGCGAGAGGGTCATTGTGAGATGTCTCAGAACACAGCCTGATGGGGGACTCGGAGCCTGCCGACGCTGGGGAGTTTTAAGGACAGAGAGGGGCAGGTCACACTGGACAAGCAGAGCAGCCTCCAGGGTCCTCTTGACCTCACTCATTGGTATGGAACTAGTTTTTCCAGGGCTCCTTCCATCATGAGACCCTCTATGCAAAACCTCATTGGTTCCCCAGTGCCAAGTCCAAACTCTGCCTGAAATTGAAGAGCCTTTGTAATCGAGCCCAAACCTACCTCGCCAGCAGAGCACCCATCATGCCCCCAAGTGACTCATGTGCATTTCACTTTTCTCCTAAACAATCCCTCCCCACAGAGGAGACTGTGCACATCTCCTCTGCTCTCCACCCGCTTGCCTCCCCTGGTTGATCCTGGGCCCAGGGATTTGGGCAGAGCGTTGATCAGGTTCATTGGGGGGCAGGATCTCCTGCTCTGACTCTGGGGCAAGCCTCATCCACTGGGACAGGGTAAATGTGGGAAGAGCCTCATCAGAAGGGGCTACTGGTGTGGGTGCTTACCTGTCTGAGGACACCCTGCAGCTCCTTGCTGGACCACATGTCAGAGAGGAGGAGCCGGGCAGCCTCTGAAGCCTTGGGTGAGGCACTGGGAAGGTGGGAAGTGCGTGTGTGAGATGAGACTCCAGGAGACACAAGAACGCACTCCGCCCTCAACCCTCCCTTCCAGGTCTTTTTTTKGGGGGGAGGGGAGGGGGTGTGCTGGGGATTGAACCCAGGGCCTTGTGCATTTAAGGCAAGCACTCTACCAACTGAGCTATATCCCCAGACCCCTTCCAGGTCTCAGAAACAGATGCGGGGAGGTCCCAGGGTGCATAAGACTGTTGGGCCTTGGTCACTACACAGTGGGCACAACCCCACACCTCTGCCCACCTAGAGGCACCCCCGAGGCCACACGCTGGTAGCGGACTCCTGTCCTTTAGACTTTTGTCCTGGGAAGAGAGCCCATGGAGCAGAATAAAGTCCCCACAGAGTTGGGTCTAGTGCTCCATGCTTCCTGCCAACCCTCTAAGGATCCATTGTCCCCACATGTCACCCAGTCAAGAAGCATCTGCCTCTGTCCCCTCTCCTGAGGTCTGGAGGCTGGACCTATACCCCATAAAGCTCAGCTTCTGGACCTTCCTTCCCTGGAGCTCCCCACCCCCGCCTCCCCCATCCTAGGTGCTTTCCTGCTCCATGTTTGTTTCTACTGTTCAGAGCCGGGGGGGACTGTGATGTGGGGCCAGGTGGGCACGGGCACCCATATCCACCCCGCCCACCTGCTGCGGCACAGGTTGATGATGTTGTTGAGCATGCTGCTGGAGAAGTACTGCTTGGCCATCTGGGGCTGTGAGGTCATCAGGTTCCTCACGGTGTAGCAGGCTGAGGTCAAGATGTCTTCGGAATTGCTGGTGTTGCCAGTATGGCTGGTGAGGAGCCTGGTCACCTCTGGGAACACTTGGTTCCCTGGGAGAGGAAGGGATGGGGTATGGGGTCAGGATTGCTAAGAAGAAGAGGGGCTGAAGGGTTCTCTCTGGGTCACAGTCTTGGGTTGCCCTTAGCCAAGTTCTGAGCAAGGTGACCCCTTGCCTTAGAGCCAACTCCMATCCAGATGGGAATCTCTGTAGACCTGTCCCCCTCCTGCCTCCTCCCAGMTCCACCCCTCTCCTGGGCCAGCTTCCCCTCTGAATGCTTGCTCTGGGGAATGGTTCAAGGGTGACCTTCCAGTGGGCTCCCGTGTGTCCTCTCTGGAGGGGAAGGTGTGGGCGCTCTTACCCATCACTCTGTGCAGCATGGGATGGCGGGACATGTTGCTCAGGAGGGAGGCCCCGGAGCGGACCACATCTGAGTTGCCAGATTGCAGGAGGCGGGCGATTTGCGGTAAGCCCTTTTCCTTCAGCCCAATCAATTGGCTCATGCCACTGGACATCTACAAGAGAGGGTCCCAGGGAGGAGCTGGTTTGTGGCTTCCCATGCACACAGTGGGAAGGGGGGCAGCCAGTCCAAACAGATCCAGAACCTTTCTCCTTCACAGTGAAAGCAAGGGCAGAGACTCACAAATTGCTTCCATATGGATGACTACAGACCTGTCCTCCCTTTCTGTCCCTGCTCCCTGCTCTCAGGGAGGAAAGCATACAGCCAGGTGGCTGGGAAGAGGAAGTCTCATTTCCCTCACTCGGGGGGATCCGGAGTCAACTTCTAACTAACAACAGTGTCACCCACCCCACCGTCTCAGCTCTGCCTTCCTAAAGAATCTGCTCACACAGAACTGCATGTTCAAGAGCATTTGTCACTTAAAAAATGGCTGTCATCTTCTTCCAACTTCCCTACCTCTGCAGGATTCAGTCCATATTTGTTGAGGGCTTGCCAGGGATAATGATGGATGGGGTTCCCTGGAGGGAGGTCGGCTCATCCAAGCCTCAAAGCAACAAATGCATCCAGATGTAACCTGGTCTAGGGTTGTGGGGGTCCTCAGAAGYCCCAGCTTCTCCCCTTCCTTTACCTTCAGTTGGCTGTCCACTTCCCTCTCACCCTAAGTAAAACTGAGGAACAGCTGTCCCCCTTCTCCTTCTAAGCTCTTCTGGATTGCAAACAGGCCTCCTCTAATCCCACTCCATCATGTCCCTCAAAATCGATTTGATTTCAAACCTATACTGATTCTGTCACCTATTCCTCTGGATCTGTCTGTCCATGTCCCATACTCCCTCTTTTTCTACCTCTATTAATTCACCAAATGGAGATTCCTCCTATTAGACACATGTTGCACCTCTGTCCCTGACATCATTTGTGTTTGATAGACTTGGCCAGGAACACACTGGTGGGAAAGAGCAGAGCACCCCTGGAGAGCGGGTTGGAGGACTGGGGAGGAGCAGAAGGGAGGGGGCTCTCCTCACCAGCCCCTTGCTGGCCGTCAGGTTCTGCAGGGCACCTGCGCAGGCCTCCAGGGTGGCATCTTTCTTGCTTTTGCCCATGAGGTTCAGGTAGGTGCGAATGGCATCCGAGTGGTAGAGCCAGCTGCTGCCCTTGGGGTTGGTTTCTTCTTCAGGAAGGGGACAGTCATAGTTGTTGTTCTGAGGACAAAGAGTGGGTCAGCGTGGAACCTGGTGAGGGGACACAACCTGAGACTCCTGCCTGTCCCCCAACCTGGTGGAGCCTGGCAGGAGGCTGCGGCATGCCTGCTGAGGCAGGGAGCCTGGACACCACCCCCTCACCACTTTCCCCTGTGCATCCCAGCTTGTCAGGGAATTGGCGAACCAGCCAGGGGTGGTCTCCTGAGGGTGGAGAGAATTCCTGATGTCCCGGAAGTGCTCTGGGCAGCCCGGGTTGACCTTCCTGCTGTGAGAGGCTGCTCTGGGGTCTCACAGCAGGATGCTTCCTCCCTCCCAGAGTCCTMATGTGGGCCTGACCTACCCTGGGCCCACAAGGCTAGTTCAGGACCTGGCTTCTGCAGCCATGCCCAGTGGAGGAGGCCTGACCACCCCTCCACAGCACCCCTTTTTTTAGGAGGCTCAGGAAGTGGTGGAAACCAGCACCAGAGAGGGGTCAGAGTTCTTGGCTGTCCCCAATCCTCAGGGGCTAAGGAGAAGTCAGGGGAGACTGAGGCCTGCCCGGGGGAGCCTTTGCCCTCAGGGCTGATCTGGGCTCCTACAGATGCCCTCCGCATGCAAGACGGAGCTCCCAGAGCAGCACAGTCCCAAGGCCATGGCTTTGGCAGGGGAAAGGTGGGATGGGGCAGCGGACCTGGTGGAGTGCTTGCTGGGTGGGCCCTGGCTTGATCCTCACCATCATCTTGTCGCTCTTGTTGCTGAAGCAGCCGGTGGAGGACTTCTCCGTGTAGGCGTTGCGGGTGTTGTACTCCAGCTGGCGGTAGCGGGTGGGCACCTCGGCATCCAGGCGGTAGGAGAGGTTGTGCAGGATGCACATGCAGTTCTCCACGGACTGGGGAGCAAGCAGAAGCAGGTGTCTGAGCCATTGCTCATCCCCCCGTGGGCTCCTGGGCTACCTGACTAATCAGACAGTGGCATCAGGGGATAGGAGCACCATCGCCCACCAGAGCCTCAGTCTGGAAAGGGCTCCCTGGGACCTGCCTGGGACTTGGACTTGAATCCTACTTCTTTCATTTCCTGGCTGTTTCAACTTGAGTGACTTACCTCACCTTATGGGTCTCAGTGTCCTCAACTGTGAAATGGGACTAAAATGACTTCACTGGGCTATTGAGATGATAGTTGGCCCTTCAATATCCTTGGGCTTGGCCTCCATGGATTCAACCAATCATGGATGAAATTAWGTAAAAAAAATATTGCATCTCCACCGAACATGAACAGATTTATTTCTCATCATTATTCCCTAAACCGTACTGTATAACAACTGTTTATGTAGCATTTACATTATATTAGGTGTTCTAAGTAATCTATAGATTATTTAACGGATATGGGAAGAAAACCAGGCACATGCCTGTAACTCCAACCACATGGGAGGCTGAGGCAGGAGGATTGCAAGTTTGAGGCCAGCCTGGGAAACTTAGAACCTGTCTCAATTTTTTTTAAAAAGGGGGATAGGGCTGGGGGGTGTAGCTCAGTGGTAGAGTTCCTGTGGGTTTAACTCCCAGTATCTCTATATCTATCTATCTATCTATCTATAGAGAGATGAGATGTGCATAGATTATGTGCAAATACTACACCATTTTATAAAAGGGATTTGAGCATCTGTGAATTTTTTATCTTTGGGAGTCCTAGAAAGATCCCCTGGGGTGTTACTGTCCATGAGAATATCTACCATGGGGTCTTACACACCGTAGGACACAACAGACCAGAGTGTTTTATTGCTATGRACAAAGTGTTGATGGGCACACTGGGTGTTGAGGAAAATGGCTGCCCTTCTGGAACAATCTCCTTCCCGAGCAGCCCAATTCCTTTAGGTTCCAAAGCCCCGCTGCTTTCTCCTGCYCCCTTCCCATGAGCACGCCTCAGCCTCAGTACCACAGGTGCTAGAGCACACCAATAGTGAGGTCCGGGATCTGGGACTTCACAGCAGCAGCTGGCCCCCATCTCTGTCATTTGCCTTTGGTGTGCCTCTGGCTAGGACTCGGTGGCCACAGACTTGACCCCCTAATGAGGCTTGGGTCCTGTTGGGATCTGAGGGAATCTGGCTTCTGGGGTTTGGGGGTCACATGTGTTAAGGGATCTTGCATGCMCAGAAGAAAAGCACCTTGTCTGCAGGAACCAGGCCAGGCAACCAAGTGACAAGGCTCTGTCCTGAGACCCTGTTGTCCCTTCCAGTGGAGGGAGCAGGAGATAAAATCCCTCCTCCTGGGACTGCTGTGATGCCCAGCCCGTCCCCTGTGGATGTGGGGAACACTGCAGCCCATTGTCTCCCTGACTCCTGAACCACTGTCCTTCCTCAGTGACAATGAACCAGACTTGGTTTATCTTCCCTCATGATGTATCCTTTCTRTTTGTGCTGTTATGTCCCAAAGTCCAGACAGGGCAGGAAGATGGCCTGCGATGGCCTTTTTGAAAGCAGTGGAAGGGTAGCAGGGGCAGGAGTCTCATTTCAGGAAAAATGTTGAGACCCTGGGAGCATGAGTGTGTGTTCCCAGGGCTGCCAATGGGGCTCAGCATCACTCGTGACAGTGTGGCCCCCAGAGCCTGCCCTTGTGTGCAATGCCCTCACTCCAGATGTCCTCTCTGCTGCCCCAGACCCCAAGCTACTGTTCTGTCAGTGAGCCAGGCCTCAGAGGCACCCAGAAAGTGCAACGCTGACTCCTTAGATCTGGGAGACAGAAAAGTCATGACCAGGAGGCCAAGAGCTGGCCTCACTGAGTCCAGTTGTGGCCCAGGGTTTTACGCTCTGGACAGAGAACGGGGGCTGGGTCTAGAGGTCAAGGTGTCACCAGGGCTGCACTCTCACCTTGTCATCACAGCGGCTAGCTGCCACACAATTCTGGACGTAGGCCATGAGGGAGTCAATGAGCCCCGAGTAGTTCCGCATGGTCTGGCGGCCTGCGTCCGCAGAGCTCAGGTTCCTGCAGAAGAGAACGGGGAGGGCGGGAGGATGTGGGCAAGGTGAGCAAGAGGACAGGGAGGGAGGTGAGGACAGTGTGGAAGAGACACACAGTGGGGGACAGGGGGACAGGCACACGGGATAGGGTGGAGGTTGGGGGTTGGAGGTAGGAGGAGGAAGGAAGGAGAAGAGAAAAGAGAAAAAGAGTGAAGGGGGTAAAGAAAACCTGCTTGGACCTCTGTGAGGAGTGGGATGGGGACTGCAGCTCAGGGGGGCTGGCTGGGGACACTGTCCATCAAGTCGCACTCCACACCCAGCTGTAGCTCATTCCCAAGCACTTTGGGCCCTTCTGCCTGGTATGTRTGTGTGTGTGTGTGTGTCTGTCTGTCTGTCTGCTGTTGCTCCCAGTAGCCCTGCAGCCCTCTAAAGTCCTTAATTACATTGGCTTTTCATCTCCCTAGTCTCTCTGCTCCTAGAGGCTTGGAGAAGCACGAGCCAGCTGCACCCTCCACTCTGGGGGTTTCTCAGCAGCTGGGGAAGACACACCCCACTAGAGCAAGGTGGGACCCTCCAGGGAATGTTGCTCCTCTGTTCCATACTCTGCAGTAGCCCCCACCCCTGGCTTGCAAACCTCTGCTCTGAGAACAACCACCCCAGCCCCCTCCTCCAGCAGCCCCCAGGGACTATGCCACACCCTGGTATGGAACTCCAGAAATGTTGGGCAAAGCAGCGCCCGTCTCGTGCCAATGAACATGGCAAGTGGTTTTAGCATCACAGCTGGGAAAGTGACTCATAAGCAGCCAATCAGTAGACTTTTGTCTAAAAGAACACTCTTCAAGATGGCACAAGAAACGCATTTTTCCAAGACGGAGGAGGATGAAATGGTGGAACCAGTTTGAATACTCTGATCCAGGTGTTTCTACCCTTAGAGTTCTAACTAAGGTCCTCTGTGTCTCCTCGGAGGAGATAGTAGGACCCTGAGCCTGATCCACAGTCGGGGAAGGTAGCAATGCCGGGTCCCTGTCTTGGAGCCAGCCCTTGAGAGGCAGTGCTGGGCCAGACACTAGGTTCTCTGAATGCTGGCCAAGATGGTGCTGCCTCCAGAAGGGTCAGAGGCCAGGGCAAAAGGACCCAAGGACCTTCTTCTCTTACCTCAAGCAGCCCGTGGCATTGAAGAAGACCTCRGGATCCACCATTTCTCGGGACATGTTGCTGTTGCCATCACACCAGCCCGAGAAAGGGATGATGACCCGGTCGGCCAGCACAGGCAGAGCGTCGGCCACCAGCTCCTCCTTCAGCTCATCAGTGGAAGACAGGTTCCAGAGCAGCCCTGGGGGGCAGAGATGGTCGACTCAACACCTGTGGGCTCCGAAAAACTTGGAAATCATGGTGTCACTCCAGCCTGGGCTCTTCTAGCAAATGGACCCTTCCCRTAGGCTTGGTCTATCCAACCAGTTGTCCGACTCTTTCATGAGCCGATTCTCAGGGTCCTTGCTAGTCTGAAAGTACTTTGAGGGACAGGAACATCCAAGTTCTCTTTCTAGGTCAAAATTATGCCCATGGAAGGCGACCATAATATAGTTGATTGATTGGCAGTTTTTCATGTAAATTTTAGCACCCAGAATATTCTGTTTTTTTAATATTGATTTCTTTGTTTTAGGTGGACACAATATCTTTATTTTCTTTTATGTGATGCTATTTTCTATGTCTGAAAGTCATTCCAGAAAAACTTCTCAGCTATTACTCTACATGGTCTTATCTTCCCAGTCCAAGTGAAGGTCTTCACGGTGACCTCTCTTACACCCCACCTTGAGTCTAGGGATCAAGCCTTCCTCCCCTTGCCCTCCAGCCGTGGACCATGACCTCCTGTGGATGTGCACACCATTTGGGGTCACCACTGGACACTACTAATATGGCGAGGGCCTGTGCCACTTTTCCTAGACAAATCTGCAAATGTGCCTTGGCCTGGCCTGGAGGGACCGGCCTTCACCCCAGCTGAAGGCCACAGCCCACAGTCGTGCATGGGCCCTACCAGTCAGTTGTTTCTGGATCTCGGTGCTCCCCGTCTTCCTCAGGAGGTTGACGGCTTCACGGATTCCATTCTGCCTCCGGGTCTCCAGCTTGTTGGTGGTGCTGCGGAACACCAGGTTGCGCAGGGCCCCCGCAGCAGCCTGCTGGACATTCTGGTTGGGGCTGCGGAGAAGGTCCACCAGCTTGCAGATGCCTCCCAACTGATAGACCTGCCGGAAGAGGTGCCGTGTTGCCCGGTCAAGGGAGGGAAGCTGAGCCACTCACTCTCTGCTTAAAGCAGAGTTTTCCCAAACCAAAAAAAGAAAAGTCTACTTTAACTTCAGAAATATACAAATCAACCAAAGTAAATTAGCAGCCAAAGGTGATAGCAACAAACCTAGACCAGAAGCCAGAAGACCTGGACTCAGGTCCCAGCTCCCTGACATCCTGACTGGAAGACCTTCAGCAAGTTGCTCCTCTTTTCTGAGCCCTGTTTTCCCCCTCTAGAGGATGGTGGTGAGGGTTAGATGAGATAAAATGTCTATATGCCTCCCTCAAAATCAGGCAGAACACAGATATGGGAGATCTTCCCATGGACCCAAGGAAACGCTTTCTTTTTTGGCAGAAATTTTGATGAAAGTAACCCTGGCCTCTAGGAAACTCAATATCCTTGGGCTAAACTGCAGAGTATAAGTGTCCCCTTTTCAACGAGAGAGAGAGAGAGRRGAGAGAGAGAGAGAGAGGAGAGAGAGAGAGGGGGAAACACTCTGGGGGTAGGGAGCAGTCACGTTCTTCAGTGAAATTTGAGAAAGGGAATTTCTGTTGAACCCATGGTTGTCAGTAAAGGGTCTCTTCTGTGACCAGGGGAGGAAATGTACTTGCCTAGTGTCCACTCAACAGAGGGCATTGCTCTGCAGGTTCAGATGCCAGCTCTGACCTTGGGCAGTGCCAGGCATACTCCTTATTCCTGGCAGCTGGGAAGGGTGAGAAGAAGCCAACTGTACAATGCCCCCCCCCCCCCCGGGTCTCCGAATGCAGGGTCAAGCTGATACACCCAGGCTCAGCTCCCACCTGCCAGGGTGGAAAGCCTGCAGCCCATTACCTGTTGCTTGGCAGATTCATCCTGGAAGCAGGTGTGCTGGATGTAGTAGGCGCCGATGGCCTGGTACTTTTCGTCCTGGGAGCTYAGGTACTGCACAGCCTTGGGGATGGTCAGCCCGCTGCACTCGATGTCCTCACTGCAGATCCTGCGAGGAACATACAGTGGGGGTGTGTTACGGGGTGACCTGGGAGCCCTGATGAACGGGCCCAGAATTCTCCCTTGCACAACAAGCAGCCACAACCTCATCTGCCTTCCAGAGGGCCAGAGCGAGGCCCTCAGGCCCTCTTGGAGAATACTTGCTATGGAACAGCTCCCCCAGACAAGGGGAAGGCTCACCCACTGTATTTCCCCCTTGTGGGAACCTGGCTCTGGTGAGGCCCTGGTCTTGGGTTAAGGTCCAAGCAGGCCAGTTGTCTCTCCCATGAGCAAAACTCCTATTCCCTGAGGGTAATCTCTCCACCTATCCTGCCTTCTGCCATGTTTGCACCTGGTAATGGGAAAATGGAAGAGAATGGCTGTGAGTGTATTCATCCCTTATCCATCCATCCATCCATCCATCCATCCATCCATCCATCCATCCACAAGTGTAACTGGCTCTTCTTACACAAAAAGAAACTCACACCTCCTTCCCATCCTTATGGCCACCACTTTCCTCCTGATCAGGATCATTCTCAGGGGATGGTCACCAGAGACCCCCTTAGTGGGATCCCTTTTCCAAACTCCTCCAACCAGCACATTACAGCCCTTAACGAGAGAAATAGTCCTAAAACCCTGTCCCCTGTATTGTTTCCTAGTTCAGATACCATCAGAAGCTTCTCCACACTGCAGGTTCAAGTTCAAACTGCTTAGGCGGACATCCCAGGGCATGCATTAGTTTGAGCCATAGGAGATGGCTGATAGTCCACCTTCTTTGAACTGCAAATCAGAAATTGTATGTTTTAACCTCCTCATCTGGAGGATGATGTGATCTCTTGCACACCATGGCAGACCTGCTACACYCCCCCTTCTGCAAAGCCTTCCAAAGAAGGATCCCTTTCTCCTAAGAACCCCTCTTGCTCCTAGGGCCAGAGTCACAGGCAGCCTTTCCTGTGTCCTGAGTGTGTCCTGCTTCCCAAGAGATAGGTTTGCTGAGGACAGGGGCAAATCTTGTGTGATACCCAGCTCTACCCCTTGGGTATCCTTCATCATTTATAGAATGAATCCTCTAGTCCTCATACTAGATTCTGGTGTTGCCTAAGTAGGTGCTCAATAAACAGACATGGTTTTAACTAGGGCAGCCCAGCTTGATTTCTGTAAAAATCACCCAAAGGGCAGAGCTCTCTGATGATGGGTTGGTAGCACCCCTGACCTGTATTGAAAGAATGTCATGGGCTGGGGATGTGGCTCAAGTGGTAGTGTGCCCGCCTGGCATGCATGTGGCCTGGGTTCGATCCTCAGCACTACATACAAAGAAAGATGTTGTRTCCGCCAAAAAAGCTAAAAAATAAATATTAAAAAATTCTCTCTCTCTCTCTAAAAAAAAGAAAGTCACCCGGCATCCATCAGTCAAACATCTAAATAGCTTGTCACTCAACCCCTCCATATCCTATCTAGGCCCTCCATTCTGGGCATCCAATTGGGGAAAGATGTTGCTCTGAACAGAGTCTTCAAGAAAGAGAGATTTCTTATTCATTTTCCAAATTATCATAAATATAGGTTATGTTCTTCAAGTGGAATTCTACTTTAGAATGGTATTTTGCTTATTTTCAGCACAGTGTGGAGAGAACATAGGATACAGAAACAGCTGTGTGGTCTTGAGGGTGCTACTTAACATCTCTGTATCTTGTTTCCTCCTTTCCTTACTGTGGAGTGCTAGCTCCTTCCTGGAAGGGGTTGTGATGGTTAAAGATAAAGAACACAACACTCCTGGGGGTGAGAAGAGGTGGACTGTGTAGCTCCAGAACCACTCTAGGCTGTCCTGTCAGGGCCAGGTCCCTTGCACTCGCCACAGAGCTGAGCATGTGATATTTGCTCAGCAAATATTCGAGCAAATATTTGTCAAATAAATGAACAACAATCACTAGGTGATAAAGAATATTTTTAAGGTTCATTGAGCTCTGATGCCTGAAAGACAAGGTCAATGTCACTCACCTGTGCCTGTGGCACATATTTTTTCAGGAATGGGGATGGCACCTGGAGCCTCGCTCAGGCTAGTCAAGCACTCTGAGGCGCATCCCTGGTCCAGCCTGTGGCTCTTCATGGGCCACCCCATTGGTTTCCCTTCATTCCCCCTGGGCAGTGGCCTTTCTTGTGGACGGGAGCTGTGCTCTGTCCCTGAGCCCTAGATCATGTCCCTCAGGTATCTGTCTGTCCTAACTGTCCTTTAGACTTACCTGTTTTATAACATAACCCACAACCTGTTCTATTCCCATCATTTACACAGGGCCTATTTCTTTGCTTCCAGAACATAGATGGAGATTGATGTGTCTAAGACCAGGGGCTCAGACTCTAGCGTGACTCCCAGGCACCTGTGGGGCTGATTGGGACAGGCATTGCTTGGGTCCCTCTGGTGTTTCTGAGTCAGTGGGACTGAGGTGAGCTGGAATGAGCATTTCTATTGCATTCCTGGGTGACACTGACATTGCAGGTTGGAGGAGTTCACTGGGAGAAGCACGGGCCTCCTTGATCATCTCTAGTTAGCTAACCCTCTGCTCATAACCTCCCCGTGGCCTTTAAATCTATATACTCATTATCTGGCTTCGGTCTTCCTTTCATGCTGAACTCCCTGGGTCATGGCCCCTCTGGGTCAAGAACCTCTGGCCAGGGACTCTTCAAGGCACTGACACCAAAGCCAAGACAGAGGCTGTGCCTCTCCCCACTTCCTGGGGGCCCCGTGCAGAGGGAGCTGGACTAGCAGCTTACCCCTTACTTGGCCCTGCCGGGCCCCCACCCCAGCCTAGCAGCACTCACTTGGAGCTGGCCCTTGAGTGGCCAAAGGACAGGTCCTTGTTGCAGGAGATAGGTGGCACATAGACTGGGTCCTGCTTGGAGGTGCAAGAGGGTGGGCGCCCGGGGCACTTCTTGATGGCCTTTTGACCGCTGCAGGTGCTGTAAAAGCTGTAGCGATTCTGGGTGGTCTTGTGGCCCTTGCTGCCCAGCGTGCCCTTGCGCAGGGTGCCCCTGGGATCGCAGTAGAGGTCGGGCTCGCTGCGGCTCGCCTTGATTTTCTGCATGAAGCAGATGTCACTGCCTGCACCAGTGGTGGTACAGCTCCCGCGGGGGTAGTGCCGGTTCCAGTTCTCCATCTGACTGTAGGAGCTGAAGCGCCTGTTGTCCTGCTCCCGCTTGAGGGTCCCATTGTAGATCTGGTCAGGGAAAGGGGGAAAAGCTCAGTCAAGCTTTCTGACAGGGCATCCTGGATCCTGCTGGCCACAGGACACGGCCTCCCCTCAATATTCAGAAAGTCCCAGAATGGGGGCCGGGTTGTGGCTCAGTGGTAGAGCGCTCGCCTAGCACGTGCGAGGTCCTGGGTTCGATCCTCAGCACCACATAAATAAAATAAAGATATTGTGTCTGACTACAACTAAAAAATAAATATTAAAAAAAGAAAGTCCCAGAATGTTTGGAGAGAAAGCTATAATCTGCCATATATATATATTTGTTGTTGTTCTTGTGGTGCTGGGGATCGAACCTGGGGTTCATGCAAGACAAATACTCTACCAGCTGAGCTATAGCCCCAGCCCCTGCTAGATTTTTGATCAGTGAATTTTGACCCATTATGGATTTATGTCACTTAGGAGATTGTGCTCAGCATTATTGAAAATACAGAATCGAGCAATATATCTGGGAATAGAAAATACCCAGAGTGCAATGTACATAATACTGACACAGATTGTTTGTGAACAGTGAAYAGCTGCTGGATTGTAATGTGGAATGTACTTCTTACTGTGGGATGCAGTCCAGAAAGTCTAGCAGCCACCTATCTGGCCACACAGTTCAGGTGGGAAATTGCAGACCCAGAGAGAAGAAGGTCTTCCAACAGTCACTCAGTAAGTCAAGGACAAAACCAAGACTTGACCTTGAATCTCAAGCCCTGGCCTCATCCCCTTGGGCCATTCCCAGACACCAGCAGCTTCTGACACTGCCATTCTCTTTGGTTACTTGTACCTGCTCCCTGGGCCCTTTGTTATAAGGAACTGCTTGCTGGGGGCCACCTGCAACCAGGAGCTGGGCCCCAGGGACTGCAGGGTAGGTTACAGGCTGGGCCTCTGGGCTTTGCTGTCAGGCTACCAGGAGGGAGAAACTTGGCAGAGTGATCCAAAAGGACAACAGACCAGGGACAATGAGGCGCCCAGGCTGTGTGTGAGTCCCTCTGGGGGTTAGCCTCCACAGGAGGTGCCTGCAGAGACTTGGTGGGAATTAACTCTGGGACAAAACTGTCCAAGGAGAACTTTCCCAGGAGCTCACAAGCTGGTGGGTCTGGCCTGCTGGGACTTGCTCTCAGACTAGAGGATCAACACTGAGCCTGATAAAATGTCTCTGTACAGGTGCTGACTTGGGACTCACCTTAGCTGGGATGAGCCAGGGCCAAGTTCAGCCCAGATCCTCCCTGCCCCACCCTGAGAGAAGGGCAGAGAGAGAAGGAGAGGGGTGGGGGAGAATGAAAGGGAGACAGCATGGGGCGGGGGAGAGAAAATGAGAGGGAAGGAGAGAGAATGAGTGAGTGTGTGTGTGTGTGTGTGTGTGTGTGTGTGTGTGTGTCTGTACACGGAAGGTCCTTTGGGAACTGGGCAATTCTCCAGAATGCAGCATCTGGCCACACAGAACTAGAGAGGAGCTGTCCTTCAGCTTGGTCCTCTTGGTTCAGCTCTGCAGGGGAGCGTAGAGAACAGGGAGTTCTCATGGTTCGAGCTCCCAGCAGGACTGGGTGTCAAGCCACCCATTGGAAATGGCATTCAACATGAAGAAGCCACAGGCTGTTAACCTTGGCAGAGGCAAGCTCATCCCCTTCACCCACACACCCAGCTGTGCGCTCAGGCAGGTGCACTTTTCTTCCCCAAACTGGGTCAAACCAACCTATCCACAAAGGGAACTGGCGTGTAGGGGTTGGAACAGGCAGAAGCAGATAGTAACCAGGCGTCGGCCAGGGGAGCGGGCAGTATCCTGAGCCCAGGACATGGAATGGGCGCCTTGCAGATCACATGCAAAACATGCAATAAGGTTACACTCTGCGTCTTCTCAGGGGAAGGAGGGAGGCAGACGGCATCTTGGAAGGAAAGCTGAGTGCTCCTAAGTGGCAGGCTGAGTCCTAAGAGGAAACGCAACAAGGAGCTCCCTTGTTCTCAGCAAATGACACACCTGGACATCATCACAGACACGATGAGGAGTCCAGACACTCTCCTGGCCCAAACCCAGCAAAGATGCCATCACTCTGATTAAGCCTGACAGAGGCCTTGGGCTCTGTGCCCCTGTGCTGGGAAAAGGAGCAGCAGGCAGCCCTGGCAAGTCTCAGCGAGGGTGGGCTGCCCGAAGGAACTGGTGCTGGCTGTACCTGCAGGGGAGCAGGCAGGGTGCCCAAGGAAGGGATGCCCAGCCTGGGGACTGATTTTCCAGCCCCCTCTCCGTGGGCCACACCCCATTGGTATCACCCATTCCTAGAAACCGCCCCTACCCCCAGCTTTTGGAGCCATGGTGTTGTCCTTAGTCTGTTAGATGGTGACTAAGGATGACTATAAATGGCTTCCTCCCATCACGGTGGTCCTTGACTATCACTTTGACAAGCAGGAGACAAACGTAGCCAGAGCCTTCCATGGGAAGGCCTAGGTCCCCTCCACTGCTCACATGAAGCGGGCCTCCTCTATCCCTCCGGGCATAGATGGCCTGTGATCAACTTTGGCCTGTAGCCTCTAAGTACTCCTCACACCCCATGGGCTGGGACTTACACAGCGGAAGACCCAGTGATCAAGAACACAATGCGGGGGCCAGACTGCCCTGGCTCTGCCATTTGCCTGAGGAGTGTAGCCTTGGGCCAGTGACGTAAGCCCAATGTGCCTTTATTTCTCCATCTGTATAACTGGGATTATAATTGTACCCAACATACAGGGTCACTGGGAGAAGTCAACAGACTGATGTTTGTAATGCATTTAAGACAGTACGTGACACAATTGTTTTTTCAATGGAGACAACTGTATCCCTCTGACTCAGGATAGGCTGGCTGCCTTTAGGATCTGGCTGAGGATTTTACATCATCCACACCAAACCTGAAAAAGTTACCAAGTTGGCCCAGAAGGGATGAACCCAGGAAGCCAGCGGAGCCCAGGAAGGAAATGCATCCCAGATTCAGAGCGCCAMACTGTTCTTACTCCAGGGCACATAACAGGTCAAAATATGTTCAGAAAATGGGGGAACCTGGTTCCCCCGGATGGCACACCTACAGTGAAGCCAGGCTGTGTGTTGGAAAGGTGCTGATGAGGGTGCTATGGGTGCTGTGGGCATCCGGGCAGAACAACTCTTCATTGTTCAGGATGCCCCAGGCATCAAAGGCTGTTTGGTGGCCCTGGCCTGCAGGCCCTAAATGCTAACAATACCTTGCAGTCATTGTGACTAGAAAAATGTCCCTCCCACATTTCCAAACACTATCTTCCATGTCCGGAGTGAACAGCTGCAGCCAGGCAGCAGCGGGCAGATGTGCCCACAGCAGGTGGGAGACCTTTGTTGCTAATGCCAGTCTCCAGCCACACCCCCACGGTAGATAGTGATCTGCTGGCAGCCTCCTCTTCTTTGAATACAAAGGACAGTCTCTCTCACACACACACACACACACACACACACACACACACACACACACACACACCATGTTTGGTTATCTCATGCTTCCTTGGGAAACTCCAGCCTCAGGTGGGATGGCCCATGGATCAGAACATTCTAGACTAACCACTCACCTTCCAGGGAGCAGAGCTGAACATTGAACCAGACAGAAGACTGAGCTGGACAGCCAGGTTGAAGTCAAGGTTGCCCCCAGAGAGACTTGTTTCTCCACTTGGGAGATCACAGGGCTCTTGAGGGTCCACCCTGGAATTCATAGCCCAAGGCTGTTTCAGTGGGAGTCCCCTCCAGTGCTCCACAGACTCCAGTGCTCTGATATCACTCCACCTTCCTCAGTCCCTGCTCTGCGCAAGGTTCTGCCAATGACCTGGGTCCTGTGACTCCGCTGCCTTTCTTCCTCCCTCCTCTTCCTTCTTGGAGAAGTGTGGTGTTTAACTCTCTTCCTGTTCCCCCTTAAGTTGGGAAGCTCTCTGAGGCCCACCCCTCACTTTGCAAGCAAGTCCAAGAGGGTGATTGGACCTAAGCACAGCAATCCCAGCCCAAGACCAAGGGCTTCAAYGACCAGAATTATAGGTAGCTTTTCCTGGAGTGAGAACTGTACAGTCTGAAGAGTCTTCCAAACCAGAAGAGCTCCTGTGAGCCCAAGGTCATAGGACAGGACAGTAACTAGCCATTCAGGAAAGGGTGGGATCTTTCTGTCCTTCCATCTGAGAATCCTGTCCTCCTCCCTTTGCCACCCCGAGTTCCCAGACTGTGGTCGTGGCTCTCCTCAGGTGACTCCTGGGGACCTCCAGTGCTCTGATATCACTCCACCTTCCTCAGGCAAAGCTTCCGTTAGCCTTGCTGGAGAGCCTAAGGTGTTTCTGCTGCTTCCAAGGCAAGCTATCATCCTGGGCCCAGCCCGCATGTCCAGCCATCTCTTCTCCTCCGGACACATTCCCTTTGCTGTTCTGCGGCAGCAGCCATGCCTGGGTCCCCTGCTTCATCTTTATCCTACATGGCTTCCCTTCCCCACCTTCTTTCAAATCTTACTTACTCCCAGGCTTCTTCTCAAACCTGTCATCTCCACAAAGCCTGCTTTGACCCCACCCACCCTACTTCCAGATATCAAGAGTACTCAGAGTTGAAAATCCCCCCTCCCCGGGACACAGGCACACATGTCTGTGGCCTTGGATTCTCTCTAGTTGCTAATGTAGGTTTCTCTCATTCCTCCAAACTCTCTGGGGGCAAAGGTGCCCTTTGTTGTGCCTAGAACAGGGGTGAACTCATAGTCAATGTGCATAAAAAAAGGATCCCATGAGGGGCCAGGAGAATTCATATTGGGGATGGGGACTCTGGTTGCTGATGGGCAGTGGGCTTCCCATAGCCTCCAGGGTACAGAAGAGCCTCCACAAGCAAAGTGAGCTGCTAGGGAGGCASGGGGCTCCACCCAGGGCGAGCCTGCCTGGGGTGCAGCACAGTCTGGGTTCAGCCCACCATGGACCAGGATTCTTCCCTTTGCCCCCTGACTTGGGTGATAGGTGCGGGCTGCCCAGAGGGT